CACATCAACAATATCCTTACTCAACCTTGGGTTCCCTATCACCAGCTTCCTTGTCCCCTTCTGCCTTCTGGCCCTTGTCACTGGACTCCTGTATCACCTGTTCATTTTTAATATAATACTGGGTTATATAAGATGAGCACCAGCAGCAGTAGAAATCATTTAAATTTACCTGCATTTATGGTATTGTTGTAGGAAAAAGGAGGAGAGTTCTATTATTTGTTGAGCACCCACCATGAACCTGGCATTTCTTCCATTTAACTCACAATAACCCTGTAAAGTAGCTAGATATGATTTCCAGTTTATAAAGGAGGAAAGTGGAGGCTTGGAGAAGTTAGATGACTTGTTTGACTAGTCAGTGGTTTGAAACCCACATCTCAGTGTTGCTATGTCCACCTTCTGACTCCAGTTTCATAGAGAGTTAACTTAGGGGGAAAGTATTTGAAACCGTGGCATACTCATTTTTTTGTTTACTATATGTTAAATTCTTTTGCGTGGGCGCTTTCCCTTTTACTATAAAAATAATTGTTTAGTAAATAGAATATGATCAATTTAGGAAGCTTTGTAAATAAACAAATGATCTGTAATTGATACTGAGACGTTAAACAGTTTTAACTATTTGGAGATAAACAGCAGATCTGTAAATCTGAATAAACAGGACAGTATTGAATAAGATAAATTTGGAGGTGGAAACACTCTGCCCACTATACAGAAACAACTGTTAGAAAACAATGACACAACAAAAAGTTTTGGCAACTTTATTTAAGCTAACAAACGAATTTTCACTCTGCAAAGTTATAAATTAATTTTAATAGGCTGATCCAGATGGTCCATTTGGAAAATGGATAGGCTGATCTGTTGAAAATTAAACTAAATTTATCTCTCTCATACTTCAAACTGAAGCAAGAGAGAGAATCATGCCTATTAAGTCCAGCACATACAGATGGACCAGCAGGTCACACATGGGACTAATCAGATTAATTTTAAAAACAAATGCATACATTATTGAATCATTTTCTACTTGCAAGATCTGTTGTGTGCAGAATTTGAAAGAGATTTGATATTGTTTTTTTGCATTGCTGTTTTAGCAGGTTCTCTTAAGCCCCTCCACTTTAATTTAACAACCTTTTTTTTTCCTCCTAGTGCTCCAAAATGATTTTTCTAATATCTGTCATTCAGTGTTGAGATCCAAGCTCTAGAGATTAATTAGGTCATGAGTTTTTTTTCCCCTGCCTTCTTTGTCAAGGGTTTTATCTCCATTCTCTTTGTGAAGAGCATGAACTCAATGTTCTTGGAAAGAGAAATGGCCTTTAGAAACAGGGAAGTAGGAGATCCTCCTGGGGCCCTCAGAGTCTTTTAGCTTCTGGGTGTTTTAACAGCCCCATGAATGCAGATTTGTAAATTTATTACAGTGCCATCTGGTTTTTTGCTTGAACCAGATTACTGTTGGCTTGTGTCTGTCTATTGTGGTGGTCACTCCCTAGGAGCTTGCCCTCTCAATCTTAGGGAAGAGTGATGAATAGCAGGGGTCAATAGAAGCGGGTCACAGGGCAGCTGTCCAGGACTGCCCTGAACTTGATTACCCCACAGCTGATTTTTTTAAAGACAGGACATAATATATAAGCTGTTTCAACTCCCTCTTTTCTCTATTGCATATGACAATAATGAAGTGCCATTTGCTGTTGTGTGTGTGTTTCTTTTCTGTAGTCAAGTTCTATAGATAAAAAGATGTCAGAGCTGCCTTATATCTTGTGTTGATGTAAGTAGGATTTACATTATGTAGGCCCTTAACTTGAGATTCTTATGCAGATATTTCTACTGGGAGTTCAGGAAATCTTTTCACCATTGATTATAAAAATCACAGTTATGTTCTAACCAGTTTAGTATTAAACTAATTTTGTAGCTTACATATATTATTCCAAAGTAGATTTTAACCATTGTTGATAGGGCATAACTACTACATGTTAATTTAGAGAGCTGTTTAAATATTGAAGGGACTAAAAGAAAGGTCACTACCACAGTTCCTACAGATATTAAAAGGATAATAATGGAATATTATGAACAACTTTATGCCAAAAATTTGACAACTTAGATGAATTGACTCAATGGTAGTAAGTTTGGTTTTGGGTTTTTTTTAAAAGATAAAATAGGCAGATTCCTTGAAAAGTGCAGTTTACCAGAACTAACACAGGCGAAAATCTTAATAGCCCTGTCTCTATTTAAAAACTTAAATTCCTTATCAAAAGGCCCATATGGTTTCACAGTGAATACTATCAAACATTTAAGGAAGAAATAACACCAATATTATACACACTCTTTCAGAAAATGCAAAAGGAAAGAACAGTTCCTGACTTGTATTATGAGGCCAGCATAACCACAGTTCCAAAACCTGATGAAGAAATTACCAGAAAATGAAAATACTGAAGAGAAAGTCAGGAGCTATTACTCCCTGTGTCAACTAAGGCATTTTATACGCCTGCTTTTCTGTTTCATTTCCAACATCAGAAGGAGGGAAAGTAGGGGAAAGCAAGAAACGTAGTATATCCTTTTAAAGAAAGTTAATTTTCTTAGTTGCAGAGTAATCTCTTGTCTTTGCATTAACTATGAACCTTTATTTAAAGAATGTACAAAGTAGCTACAGTTTTCTAATTTTAGTCCTAAAATGTGAAGCCAAGGAAACCATAGCTACTGTTTTCATAGCTTTTATTCATATCTGCAAACAAGGGCAAAGACCTTGCAGGATACATGAAAGTACTTACTACTTTTTGAAAAAGTACCCTTGCAACATGCAACTCCTTAGCTTCACATTGGTGCTAATAGGATCTGTCAGCCCTGCCTTTCTCTGTAATTGAGTAAATTGCGACTGCTGTCTAATCCTTCTCCCATCCCCCATTCCCTTTGTGTATGTGTCCACTTACCATCCTGAGAACGTGGGCAGTGATAAATAAAGCATTGAGTAGAGCTCTCTCAACTCTTTGAAAGCAGCATGATGCCAGCCCTCTAGTTATATTTTTTTTTAAGTGTTTACGTTTTTCTGTATTCTTTCTCTTGTGTAGCTGGAACCCTGGGGATGCAAAGCCATGTGAGAGGCCAAGAAGCTAACAAAGTAGCTGTCTCCCTTGTTAGCTTGTTCCTTTATTCTTTAAAAACAAGATAAAAACCATCTGGCTCAGGGCATTACATTTTCCTCCCCGGTGCACCTCTATAGATGGAGACTTCACCTGCAGTGA